CTATTGCTACCCGTTAACCTATGTCTCGTCGAGCACTATTATTCGAACCAGGTATTCGAAACATTCTTGTTTCTTCGCGTAAAAATTTGTTCGGCCTCGTTTGTTCTTTGAAATAGATAGTTGGATATCCTAGTTGTGGAATGTTTGTTTGGTTTCTTATATGTGATAATAAGTGAAATTTGTATTTAAAAATTTATTGATATACTTGTGGACTCTCAATTCATAAATCAAAGTTGTTTTAAATGTTTATTCAAGAATTTGAAAATAATCTCAAGAATCAAAATCTCTGTAAGAAAACAGAAATATTTTAGAAATCAATCCAATCTAATTAATCTAACTTAATCTTTTCTAGTTCCTAACCTCTAATTTTTATCTTCTCTCTTTACTATGAGAAACATTATAATTCTTCGTTTTCCATTGCTTCTACCATTTCCAATTATCTCAATTCTAAAAAATAAAGATGAAAATTCTATTTTACACCCAACAAAGAGAAGAATCGCGATTCGTATAATTCTATTATAAAATCGGGTCCGGCAACGCATTTACGCGCGTTATCTCCGCGATCGGACAACAACGATTACAAAGCTTATTAGCGTGAACGGACGTTGAGGAAAGAGTCACGTCGATCGTTATTGCACGGGGTAAACAATGCACCGAAAGCGCAATTATCGGAATGTGCTCATTTTCCAGGAGGAGGCGGCGTGAGCGCGTAACGACGCGTACAAATTCGATCCGGCGTGCACGTCGCGGGCTTAATGCGAATCGGATCACCGTCGATTCGTCGCGGAACGCGGTAAATCCTTTTTACGCCGGTGTCATTCATCGATCCCAGGATCCGTTTACAACGAAGGGAAGGGAAACGAAAACGCCTACGTTCGAATGGAAATAGACTGAAGAGAATCTTCAACGTTCCAACGGGAATTTTCTTTCCCATTCGTATCTTCGTTTTTCGCCATTCTATTCCTCCTCTTCCCTTTTCCTCTATCAATTTATTCCGAAAATTTATTCTTTTTCTTTTTTTTCTCCCTTTCATTTTATGTATTTAATTTAATGTGAATGAAATTAATTTTTGTTAAAAATTGGTTTTTAGGTTAGGTTGTCGCATATGAAATGCTTAATTTTATATTACATAAACTGTGTACAAATCTATTTCGAATTTAGTAATGTATTGTTATTAATGATTGTCGCATATCAAAATTGAAGCTAATTGAATACAATTTGAATAAATTGTATATATTATTTTATTGTGAAGAAAATAAATTAGTGTATTATAAATTATTAAGCATTCAATGTAAAATTCAAATGCTTTTCTCTTATAAAATTGAATAGAATAGGTAATAATTATTATAAAGTTTTTGAAACAGTTATATTAAAAGAATAAACAATCTATTGGTATAATAAAATAGTAAATATCAAAGACTTTAGAGAATTGTCAATAAGAATCAATAATAATAAACTTTAATAATAATTTTAATTTTAATAAAATTTAACTCTGTAAAAGAAAATTGTCATTTATCAGTAATCACAAAAAATATTTACAGATTATCTGTCTTTTTATTAAGTACTGTAATAATATACTAATATATAAATACTAATATACAAATACTACATACTGTAAGTCCATTTTCCAGTCACACATTTTGAATCTTGTTTATTTCATCAAATTCTCTATTTCAAGCAACTATATTCCATTTGTCCAAATAATGTCCACTACAAAAATTTTCTTCTCACATCTCTCTCTCTCTCAATTCCACCTCTAGATTCAATCTAATACCATCACCATCCACATTTTCTGTCCTCTATGTTTTTCCATCCCATCCCAAAACGTCCAATCGTCCATTCTCCGTGTCCTAAATCTCCTTTGCTTCGATGTTCGCAAATTACTCTCCCATCCTTTCCCCTTAACCCACTTTTTCATCGTTTTTTTTCCTCTTCTCCTCTTCCTCCTCCTCCTCCTATCATCATATACCGTGCGCTCTTCTCAACCCTCTTCTTTCATCCATTCGTACAATCTCTCCTCCGCCTGCTCTGCTTGTCCTATTTGTCCTGTTCCACGTTCCACCCCCGTTAACCCACCCTGTCCGCGCGGATCAGAAGCCGAATGGAAATTAAATGCGCAGTCGGCCGTTACGACGATTGATTTGTATTCTCCGATCTATCGGCGATGCGAGGAAGTGTGCTAAACTGCGGGATTTATGTTCTCTCCTAATTGCGTCGCCCCCACCCCGAGGCCACCCCTCGTTGCTTCGTCGTGCTGTGCGTGGACCCCTGGACCCCTTGCCAGATTGCTTTCAAGTTTCCTGGAAAGTTTGAACGGTGACAGGTCGTGGTTTGGGTTAAGGGAGAGGAAAAATGGAATGGAGTGTGTCCGGAAGAAGATGCGTTACAATTTTTTAATTATTACGATTTAATTGCGATTTACGAAATTTTTTTCGAAGTGAAAAATTGCATGGATGACTCGTAAAATATCTTTGGAGAATCGATTCTATGAGGTCGAGAAAGACGATGTTATAAAAATTGATACACGTTGAATTATATTGGTGGAGGCTATTATAGACTTGAATTTTAGTCACTTTGAGGAAAGAGTTAAGATTTGATGAAGGAGGTTAATAATTTTCTAGTTGTCTAGTAATCTTTGTAGTTAAAATTAAAAAATGTTCTATTTTTATAATAGTATATAACTAATGTGCATGATACGTATATATTTTTTAATCCATCTTGAAAAAATTGAAATAAAAATTTATATGATATTACAATTTATAATTAGATATCTAATTAATTTATTTTTTCGTTTTGCTCATTTTATACGTTTAAATAACTGAAATAATTCTATTCTTGTATATTTTATATTAAAATAAAATTTCTTTACAATCTTGGGAATCTTTTTATTTTAAAAATTTGCGTTGCAAAGAATTCATGAAAGGAAGATTTAATTTCTGAACGTGAATTATTTATTGTAACAGTACACGGGCATAAGTCAAAGGATATAGAATTAATTTTAAGAAAAAAAATATTGAAAGAAACTTTATCTTTAATAAATTAGACAATAAATAACTATCAAAATTTGTTTTATCATGTAACGAAATAATAACGAAAAAAAAAAATAATAATAATAATAATAATAATACAAAATTCATATACACACGCTTGTTTTCCAGATTTTTGAATTTCGTCAACGGGTTCCACATCTAGAATTCTTCCTTCACATGGCGAGCTTCTTCGAAACGAATGTATTTAGCACCGATCGAGGATTATTTTTAGCCATTGCGTGTATTTTTAGGGTCTCCATAGCATGTAAGTACAAAGTCGTCCATCCGTGTACGCGTTGGGTTGGGTTCGCTGCGTCGAACTCTGCTTCGTCGACAAACTTCGCAAAAGGGTAGGGCAAAACTTTTTTTTTTTTTATGTTTATTAATAAAGAAGAAGCATCGAGAAAAGACTCCGTGAAGCTTCAACCGTCAAGCTTTTCTGCTTTCTCCACACTTTCTCTTCTTTTTTTTTTTTTTTTTTTTTTTTTTTTCTTGGAAAATGAAAATTATCGGATCAAATTTAGACGGGTTACACGATGCACGATAGAATATTATATTTTATAACATGTGCAGTGTGATGGTTCACGATAAAATTCACGATTGAAACGTCAGAGTTGACTGACGAGAGCCATTTAATTATCGGATTGCTAGACTGACTCGATTATCGTATGCTCGATGATTTTCTCCCCTATCACGAGATAATCGTTAATGTAATAACAGGGAAAAAATCAGGCGGAAGAGTGTGAATCAAACCCAGAGAAACATCAGGCTTCATATTAATAATAGAGTATATGTCGTATGATAATGTATCAGTGGAACCGGTTGTTGAATGGAAGTTATTATTATAGATAAATCGTGCCCCTGTATCGATACGTTGCATTCTTGGTGGATCTACATTATGCATATAATGTATAGCATAATGAATGTCCCATATATATGATGTATATGGATAAAATAAAAAATAAAATAAAGTAAAATACAAAATATAATAATAATCTTAAATGTAAAATGTACATGGAGTATATAGAATTAAATTATAAAATATATATAAAAATACATAAAATTATAATAATATATTACATGGATTTTTTGTAATATATGAATTAATTATAAATACATGTTTTAATTCATAATTATATATTGTATATATTGTATTAATATTAATTTATTTAATATCCAGATTTTTAATCAATAGATTTTTATGCAAAGGAAATAATAATGTTAATTAGATATAAGAGTTCAATTCTTGAGCGTATAAATTTTTCGAAGTATAGACAAGGAGGACAAATAATAAGAAAAGGACAGAGATAAGGTAAAAATTAGGAAATCAGCGCCATCTCTAGAGTGCCGCAAATGAAACTCGGACAAAAAAAAAGTGATACAAATAGTGTACGAATTGATTGGTGGTGCCATCTCTTGAGAACTATAGGAATCTCTTCAAATACAGGGTAAAGAATAAAATAAAATATATTTCCAGAAATAGTCGAGAGATGGCGCTAGTCTTTAATTTTTATTCTAATTTTTCCTTTGAAGAGATGTCATTAATTTTCAAGAGATGGCGCTGACAGTCCATTCTATTAGCATAATTTTTCGTTATAATGAATAATAATAATAATAATCAAGAATTTATTAATTTTTAAATTTTTATTGTTAATTAACGCACTTAACAAATTAATTATTAAAATAATGAATATAATAATTAATATATATTTACAAAAAAAAAATTTATTTTCTATTATTATCTAATTATCCATATAAAAAAATATGTTATTAATTAATGAAAAATTTATATATTTTTTTAAAAGATTTATTATTCAAAAGATAATAAAGAAGAAGATTTAAAGAAATTAAACCAAAAGATAATTTACTTATATCATTTATTAAATAAGCAAATTAAAATTCATGGAATTTTCAATGATGATATAATTTTTCATTTTTCATTTCTATCATTTCGCGTTTTCATATTTTTTATTAAAAAATTTCATCGTTGAATCTTCATAATTGACTCAACCGAAACGTTTGTCCCAGAGTTCCTTAAAACTGGTTCTGAAATAGGAATAATAATATAAAATTTTATATTTTTCTTTATGAAATCATCCTAAATAATAAAAAAAAAAATGTTGAAAAAAATTAATTCTTAATCGAATAACATAAATAAGCAAATAATTTTGAATATATTTAAATGACATGATTGTGACCAGTTATTCACTTATTCATGAAAATTTTCAATAATATTAAATGGATTCATGAAAGTTTTTAAGATTTAATTGAATTCAAAAAATTAGGAAACTTAAATTTGAAAAATCACATACTTTCGACAAATACAAACTCCGTTCTTGCAATGGCCTCCAGCTTTACCCAAACTGAGACAGTTAGCAGCGCAAGCACTGTCATTAATTTGTCCTTTGAACGAAAGAAGGTCACAAGTTACTCTTCTATGTCTGTCGGTACGTTCTTCGGTCTCAAAATGCTCAAGTGGCTCGAATTCATCCTCTAAAATTTGAATATTTTTAAATTTCGTATAATATATAGATAAAATGTGTAATTCATGAATAAATTAACAATGAAATAATAAAAGATGCATTAATAATGGAATATTAAAAGATAAAAATGATAGTATCAGATAGTATCATGAATAAAGATTTATTTCTTTATATATATTTATTAATTATTTATATAAATATAATTTTATATAAATTTTTTAATTATTTTTTAAATATCTAATAATATTAAATTATTAAAATATAAAGTAAGTGATTTTTACGAATATATAAAATTATTTTTAAAATAACACGTTATTCATTAAATAATATTTATCATATGTTAATTCGAAATAAATTGCATTTATTATTTTAATAAATCATAAAATCATAAAAAAATTGTCAAGAAAGAATTTTTTTATTAAAATTGGTGAAGAAGTACATTGATGTACAATGTCATCATTATTGTTTTTACATTAAAATATTATAAAATGTATTAATTAATACAATTTTATAATATTTACAGCAATATAAAATTGTACAAAATTTTATTAAATATTTTAAAATATTTTATTTATTTTTATTATTAAATAAAACATTTACCCACCAACAGGTGCAGCCATGATGGCAGCTATAGCCACGAAGAAAAGGGCGACAATAAAATAAATCTTCATATTGGCTAACTATGTGTTAAACTTCAATAGATGTTCAAACTATTCGAAAATAGACTGAGAAGTGTCTGACAACTGAACGACAGCTCGTGCAATTTATATACAACTGTCTGTTCGTTAAACTACGTATGCATAAATGTCCGTTCAAATGAATTACACATATGCAAATATATCTGCGCACGGAAACGGGTAAGTCCCTGAAACTTGAAATGATCTTCTGATTTTTCATCACTTTTTATGAAAAGGTTATCTATTTTATAAATTATTTCTCACAAATATTCTATTTAATACTCGAATTAATTAAAATCAAATTGATCTTAAAATCAATTTTCAATTGATATAATGATCTTGTTTTGATTTCAATGTTATAATTTTCAAACTTGATAATTAAAGATTGATAATTATAATTAGAATTATAGAATTAACTTTATATTTTATATTATATATTATATATTATATATTATATAATATATATTTTATATTGTACATTAAATAAATAGATGAATAAATTAAGAAATTATATACTAAATTAAATATATTTAAATTAATAAAAACTAATAAACTAATTCTGACAATTTGTGTGACAAATTTTTTTTTGTTGATGTTCTTTTTTTCTGTACAAAATCATATTTTTTAACCCATGATTTTTACTTAAAATATAAAAATATTTAATTTAAGATTAAAATGTGAAATTTTCTTTCTTAAGAATATTTTTTTTATCCGATATTTCATCAGATTTTAAGGAAAATTAAAATAAATATCAATGTTGAACATTGTGTAAAACAGTCATATTACAAACAAAGAAATGCGCATTTATAACAGAACAGATATATTACAAAAAAAAAAAAAAAATACCAATGTTGATTTTATAAAATGTATCTTTATTAATCAAAATTAATATATTTTTTAATAAAATATTTTCATTTTTTTCATTTTATTATTATTAAAATAATAAACAAATTTTATATTATTGTTTCTAATATCTTTAATTTTATATATACTAATATTTCTATCTTAACACATGTGACTGTTTAATATATAATAGTTAATTAAACGAACATAAAACTAGTAAGTATATACTATCTTTAACTCTGGATTTTCCCAATCATGTTTATCTTTATATTTGATGTTTCGAAATCATCAATTTTATATTAAATTTTCATAATGTAAAAATATATTTGTATTGTTTTAATTATATAATCTATTATATATGAATATTTAAATAAAATTTTTAAAAATTTTTGTGTATTGCAAATGTTAACTACACAACTTATATGTTAAAATTATTTTAATAAAAAAATATATAAACTATATACTATATTTAAAAAAAACAATTTAATTTATAAAATTAAAACATTTTCCTCATATTTCTAAATTTTTTATTTTTATTTTACTTTTTTTATATAGTTCAATATATTATATATTTTTTGAAAATAGCAACATAATACTTTTTTTGTGAAGATAAAAATGAAAAAGATTCTATTATATTTGCAGATATTAGATTTTTAATAATAATATGGATAAAATATTCATATTTTTATTAATATTTTATTAATTTTAAAAATCACATTCAAAAATATACGCATAATTAAAATATTTTATACTTTAAATATTTATTTTTAAAATTAAATATTTATAAAATAAAAACATATAAAATAACATTTAAATTAATATCTATCCCAAATAACATTTAAATTAATTTAATTTGATAGTATATTATTAATTTACATTAAATCAATACAATGGAAATAGTTTCCGAAAATATTTTTATTTATTTTTTTAAATATTATTTTATTAAGAGTTATACATATATTCATATATATCATCGATGAATTATATATAATGCCTTAATATTAAAAAATGTTTTTATTTAAAAAAGAAAATATTTTATATATTGGTTTTCTTTCGTTTGATTTGTAAAAACATACTTAAATATATTTCATATCTCTTCAATCAAAAGATAAATGACTTCTTCTTTTTTCAAACAAAAGACAAATGACTTCTTGTTTTTTCAAATAAAAAACAAATGACTATGCAGGAAAATTATGGATTTTCCTCACCGATAACCTACTATATTGCAATATATTTATATTTATATTTTCTATTTATCAATATTTGATTTGATACTAATAAAATGACATTATTCATTTTTGCTTATTTTTTGTTCCATATGGATCAATACATAAACGTTTATATTTAATAAATTTAAGTTTTTATATAAGAATTTTAAAACGTAAATTTTTCATTTTTTATATAAGTAAGATCATTTATTTTTTGATAGATAGAATTTAGAATGATATATTTACTTCTTTTTTTTTTTTTTGCAAAAAAAAAGATATAGATTTTAAATTTGATATATAAATTATATAAACAAATTATTTAATTTTCAAGTATATTAAAAATATTTTTTGATGATATCAGAATATTAAACTTTATTATTCAATTATTCTATAATTTAAATTCTTTCCCGAAAATCTATGATAAATGTCATTTTATTTTTTGCGCTTTTTTATCCATATGTAATTTAAATATCTAACACAAGTTCAGAATAATGTCAAACTTTGAATCACTTTAACGATTTTTAAAATATACGTCGTTGTTTAAACATTATATAAGTACAAAAAGTAATACATAAGATAATAGTAAATAAAATTATAAAAAGAATCTATTAGATTTCTGATAGATAGAATTTAAAAATAATTAAATTCTTATTGTCGGATATCGAATTATATAATTTTTATAATATAATATGTATTGATTACTCAAAGCATATTCATATTAATTAAGAATATTATATATAAAATTTTAGATGATAAGAATAAAATTAGATCTTTATATAATATATTAAATAAATTACGCACATTCAATTGATTGTGTTACTGGTAATAAGTATTTCAATTAAGATTTTCAACTTCAAAATCTAATATAGGTAAGGCACATATAAATCATTTAATGGTCTTTATAATTGTTAGAAATTTTTCTTTATATACTAGTTTAATCAATTATCTTCATACGTTTACATAATTAATTGAACGTGTTAACAATCGTATAATAAAGTAAAAAAAAAATATCAGACATCATAAAATATATTTAGCTTCAGAAGATGATAGATAACTAAAATAATAATGTGCTTCATTATGGGAAATATTAATAATTATATAGTGTATATATCTAATCTAAATTAATGATTATAATATAAAATAAAAAGTAATCTTTATTTTTTTCACAATCTAGCTGTCTTGCCATAAGGATTGATTAATACACCTTTATTACGAAGACCTTCCGTAAGTCTTAACCCAAGATCAGTATCTACTTCCGTAAAATTCTTTACTGCTCTTTCAACGATGAACGTCGATGCATTGCTAAGATTTTGTACTAAATTGTTCACTAATCTACTTTTCTCTTTATCATCGAGAACGTTTCTCCAGAATAAAGTAACTTGTCCATAATTATCCTCTTTTGGATCTACATCATAACGACCTACATCGCCACTCACAAAGTACGTCGGAGGAGCTACAGCTGGACATTCTCTAGGGCCACCAAAACTATTAGGGAAATAGTTTGGTGCACCATTTTGATTATTTATAGTTGCTTGGCCATCGCGTTGGTAATTTATTACAGAAATTTCCTGAAAAAGAAAATAAATTTTTTATTACTTTTTTTTATTTTATTATTTGTTTTTCTATTTTTTTTTTATTTTTTTCATTGTTAAGAATAGTAACTAAAACATTAATATAGTTAACTATATTAAGTATATATACTGTAATTACAAATTTAATAACATTTTATTATTTTGTATTGCTTTTTTTTCAAATAAAAAAGAAAAATGAAAGTGGGAATTTATATTACAATTATATTATAAAATTATGCATTTTTTTTTTAAATGGATATCACACAGTATATTTTATACCACTCATTAATATATATATTATTATTTTATATAAATAGATGTTATTTTTCATTAATAAAAATAGAAGAATTACCTTGAATGGACAATTCACTGGTAATTGCAGATTGTTTGGGCCAAGACGATGTCTATGAGCATCACCATAAGTGAACATTCGACCTTGTAGCATTTTGTCAGGACTTGCTCCAATACCAGGTACCATATGAGCCGGATCAAAAGCTATTTGCTCTATGTCAGCGAAATAATTTTCAGGATTTCGGTTTAATACTAATTTACCCACAGGGATAAGTGGATATTCATCATGCGGCCATACCTATTCAATTTAAAATATATTTAATTAGAGAATTATCGCATATTTATTTTAAGATTTATATTTCAAATCACTAATTTTTTAACAATTAAAGCAATTTGATGATATTAAATCTAATTTTATATAAATTTTATATAAATTCTAAATTAAAACTAAAACTTAAAATTTCATATCAAATATTTAATCCATTACCTTAGTTAAATCGAAAGGATTCCATTTGAAAGATTTTGCTTGTGTTGGAGTCATCACTTGAATATAGAATGTCCAAGTTGGATATTGATTCTTGGCGATTGCATCATAAAGATCTCGAATCGCATAATCGGGAGTGCTAGCACTCAATTCAGCCGCTTTGTCTACTGGTAAATTTTTAATTCCTTGATCGGTCTATATGAAATAATTTCATTAGAATAATTAATAAAATTATATTTCTCAAAATATTTAAATGCTAATAATTAATATATTTTTTTATTTTTTTATCAAACTATAATAAATCAAAATAAATTGTTTTATTTCTGAAATGCCTATATATATATATATATATATATATATAAGCTTTTAATTTTTTGAAATATAATTTACATTAAATAACAAATAAAATGAAATATATAATTAACATTAAATAACAAATAAAATGAAATATTTTTTTTACATTTAAAAATAACACTACACTGAATTTTAATAATTAAAAATATAATTAAAAATAGATTCCTTAATAAGATATAATAAAATATAAAGAAATGCACCTTGTAATGAAATTTACAGTAAACTATTTCATCCTTGGCATTCACCAGTGAGAACGTATGAGAACCGTAACCATTCATATGACGATAACCATCGGGAATACCTCTATCCGAAAATAGAAACATGACTTGATGAGTTGATTCAGGTCTTAAAGAGAGAAAGTCCCAAAACATGTCAGCATCCTACAAAACAATTTCATTAATAGAAATCAAAGTAAGCAAATTTTTATCTTTACAATTAATTCTTAAAAAATCCAAAATTTTAAATCTTAAAAATTTAGTAAAAATGCAGACTAGAATTATTAAAAATTACTATTTCTCATGAATTTTTCGAAAATTTTTAAAAGTAAAAACATGAAAAAAAGTCAAATACTTTTGTAATCAACTATATAATCATAAAACTTTGAGATTCTTAAGTACAATGTTATTGACGACAAACCTTCAAATGAGTAACAGGGTTTCTTTTCTGAGTATGAATGAAACTCGGAAAGTATATGGGATCTTTAATGAAGAATATTGGTGTGTTATTACCGACCAAATCCCAAACACCCTCCTCAGTGTAAAATTTAACTGCGAAACCACGAGGATCTCTGAAAATGAAACAAAATAAAGAATTATCGAAAAATAATTTTATTAGGGTGAGTTTTTCGGGAAAATTGATTTATTCTTTTAATTGTATAAAAAACAATGAATTGAAATGAAATTAGAAAAATAACAAATAGCGCAAAATCACGTACTTGATATAAATTTTATAATGTTATAGCACAATAGTATTAAAAGAAAAAACTTTTCTATAGTGACCAAGGACTACTAATTGATCAATTAATTGCAAGGCCAATGTTCAAGTTTCAATGTGCAACTTCGTATGACTAAGTGGTAATTTTTATGCAAAAAAAACAATTTACCTTGTTCCATTAGTTTTACAATTGTAATGAATTATGCCGTGAAGCTCGAGTTTTTCTCTTGGAAGTAATTATTCGTAAATAATAGATTAGATAACAAACATAGGTAATAGAATGATATTATTTAAATATATTATATTATTTAATTATATTATTTAAATATAATTCTATTATATAAATTAATTGAATAACAAAAATAAATTCATAAAAGAAAATTACATATAATAAAATAAAAATAGTTTTAATATTTAATTTTATATAATTATAAGAGAAAATAAATATATTTAGATTACAAATAACTTCATACATATAATATAAAATCAATAAAAATAATAAAAAAAATATTGTCAATAGTCAAATGTATTTAAATCCAAATTTTTTGGAGAAATTAAATATTATAATTTCTTTAATAATTATTTTTGTGATATTAAATTGCATTTGCGTCAAATCATTCAATTTTTAAAAATCTGTTTCTGTAAATGAGATAGTGACTATATATCTTCATCACCTTTTTGTCACTGTCATTTTAATAAATTTTATATAAAAGAAAATAAATATTTTGCATCACGTGACGATGCATATGCTATTTTAAAGAATCAATAATATCCTAGAAAAAAATGAAAATTTATGTTTACAATTACCTGACAGTATCTGCAGAACCACTTTCGCCACCCACAGTGGAGAACCTTACGGCGATGGGAGTTCGTTTTCCAATTGAGGAAAAAACTTTTGCCTTAGAGTATTTTGTAATATCATGGGTAACTTCGAAATAACCGAATGCACCTGAAACGAAGCGAAAAATCATTAGAATTTCTCTAATAAAATAATTCTAATAGAAATATGATTATTCTTTTATTGTTTGAGATTAAAACTTTTATTGTTTGAATTGGATAGAGTATTAATAGCAACTTTGATTAATCAAATATCTATTTAATTAAAATCCAAATATTTGAATATTTTCAAGTATTCAGATATCTATTTAATTTTGATTTTAATTAATTAGTATGTAGAACTTGATTAATATTATAAATAATTTATAATATATAAAATCTAATTAATGAAAGTATATTAATACATTTATTTCAATTTGATCTATTTAATTTGAATTTAAATATATTAAAAAAGCTTCATATTTGAATTGTAATTATTGAGTTGTAATATCATATTTGAATTGTAATTATGGAAGAAAATTCCAATTATTTTGATTAATCTGTCAATTATTGATATTTTTTGATTTAAATACATAATCATTTTTCTCAATATTTTTTTTTGAATATACTAAATTCTTCACTTTTTTTTTTTGAAATTTATTAAATTTGATATCAAAGTATTATATTCTATCTTCAATTACGTATAGATATCTATACATGTATAAATATTATCGATCATTTAATATTTTGATAAATATAAATTGCAAAATAATAGATATAAAACATTTAAAATTATTTAAATATATTCTAATTTTTAAGATTTTTAAGAGGAAATTGAAGGATTAATTTATATTTTATCTAAAAGTAATTTGAGTAGATATTTTATAAACATTTCACAATTTATTTAAAAATAAAATAAATCAATCTACCAGCTCCTTTAGCATGGACTACACGTTCCGGAATCCTTTCTCTATTAAAATGCGATAGTTCATCTAAAAAGACGAAATCTTGAAGCAATATAGGACCGTTTGGTCCTACCGTCAAACTGGCTTTCTTCGAAATCGGTGTTCCACTTCCAGTAAGGAATATTGGGCAATCAGGCTGCGAAAAAGAATATATATATATATTATTAGTTAAAAAAGAATTATTTTTGTGTAATCTTATATTCATATATAAAAAATTATTTAATTATTAAGAAAATTATTATTATTATTATAGAATAATTATTAAAGAAAAATTAAAATAATTATTAAAAGAAAAATAAATTATGAAAAATATATATATATTTTATTAATATCCATCTAGCATTTGAAGATGCATTTAACAAAAAATATTTTTCATGAGATATTTATTAAAATATTACAAAAATAAAATTAAGCATATCTAAAAAACATAATTTTGTGATCGATATTGAAATAGATTTTTTATCATTTTTTTCTGCGATATAGCATCAATACTTAATTTTTAAATATAATTTTTAAATATGCCTTTTATCATTAATTTTTTTGCGCAAAATAAAAAATAGTAAATATAATAGCAATCAATAAAATATATATTCAACATTGCGTATTATTCACGTTTTAGATCAATACAAACCGTGTTGAAGTTATTGAAATGATATTTTTTATATAGTTTATTTAATATTGTTTAAAAAATATAATAATAAAAATGATTAAATAATTAAATAGATAATAATAATAAGTATTAAATAATTAAAATAATAATTTAAAAAAAATAGTTATTATTAATTATTCAATAAACAAATTTTTAGTAATAGTGTGATATAATTTGTCTACTATCATTGTATTACATAATTATAAAAAATGCAATAATAATACAACAAACATATTTAAAATAAAATCAATTATAAATTAATTAAGTTAATACATATATATTCTAAATTCTGAGAAGATTAAATTAGTTTATATAAATATATAAATAATGTTTTATCAATTATATATATCCATTCAATGATTGCATTTCATTTCATAACGATGGTTTAATCAATATTTACATTGATTATGATATTTATACGTAGTTGTACATGAATGCAATTTTTTGCGCATCACTGAAATCAGAATGTTAGATCATGATCTAAAATTATTCATTAAAAATCATTATACATTAAAAATCAAATCATTTCTATTGATGAAGGTCATGGATACATATGATATATTAATAGTTAAACTATAAAATGTTAAATAGTTTTAATTACAAAATATTTGAATAAGAATGTTCTATAAAATATTCATAAAATAAATTTTAAGAAGAGTTTTAATGTTATTTCTTCATTGATAATTTTCATCATTTTATTTTCTACATTCTCATAAAATAAAATGTACTGAGTAATAAAAAAAGTTACTGTATATTGATTATAACTAAATCTCTAATTTATTTTCTTCTTTGATTCAATACTATCAAATAAATTGTTTCATAAAAGAATTCCAACTTATTATTATTTTATTTTATCGTATCATTAATATAGATACAATATAGATTAGTTAGTACAATACAGAACATAACTTTTGAATTAGGAATATTTGATATTGATATATTTTAACTTATGATGATGTAACCGGTTACCTTTCTTATTTCTAGAAAACGAATTGCGCAATATAACCAGAATCGTTCCATCTTACAATTCCCATGAGAATTTATTTCGTAACTCGTTTCATTAGCATTCTTCTCAAATTTTGTGTCCATTATGCTATGAATCATCGTAATTTCACGAATGATGACTTTTCAAAAAAAAAAAATATGAACATTTTGAATATTTTGTGATTATCTCTTTATTTAAACAACTATTAATCAATAATCAATATATCTTTTATTATATTATATTATATTATTATAATTATCTTTTAATTAAGTCTCATTCTTATTATCTTTAAAAGTTTTATATTTAACTTTTTTTTCGAGCTAAAGTGTAATCAAAAAAAAATAATTTGAAAAACTTTGTTGTATCATTTTCATAATAATATAAAACTAAGATTATGTTTAATGATAAAATATAATTTTTCTTATGTATTAATTTACATATACGAATAATTATTTTAATATAATTTAATCTATAAGATATTTACATTTTTTATCGCTTAATAAATGCATGTTTGCATATTATATATTTAAATATATAATCAAGTTTATTATTTTAAATAAATACTCTGCATATTTCTTATAAATATATTCCTATATACATACATACAACGATTTTTTTATTATGAAAAATATAATCGAATTATTTAAATATTACTTGAATTTTGCACACTTATTACGCTCATTTTCAAAATTTTTATTCATATTATACATTAATATAATAAATTATATAATAATTATATAATAAATTATATATTTTATATATATATATATTTTTACGTATTAAAAACATTCTCTCAAGATCATTGATAATAATTATATTTTGCAATTCATTATATGCAATTTTTTTGTAATTCATTACACGAATTAATTTATACACATATTTTTAGATTTCTACAAGTGCAAGATATACGTGATGTGCAAAAATATATACATTTTATTCAAAATGAAATACTTATTATGGTATTTAATGAATATTTATGGTATTTAATGAATATGGTATTTAATGAATAAAATAAATTTTTTTTAAGTTTCCATTTGTAATAATTTTTTTATATTCGCCAACAAAGGATTCACGTTTAAAAAAAGTCTATGAAAATTCTAATTCCGCTTGATTTTTTACATAAAATACTTGAGTTAATTTTGTCTAATGAAACTCTTTCTTTCTTTTTTTTCTCTAACTTTATTATATCGTTTTATAAAAATATGAGTTCATAAAAAATGAATCAATCTAAAAAATCAATCCATTAATTTCCATCAAAAACAGGAAGTTTTATTTGATATGTATGTTTTCTGAAAAATATTCTACCACGCATTTTCAACTTACTTTAAGTAGAAAGGGTAAATACCTTGATTGAAGTTGAAAATGACGTAATCGAATAATCATTGATCGCGGAATTTTCCTGTAAGTATCGAGACGTTAACACAAAACCATTAAAAATGATAGTCATAATGATAATTTCAAACGATATAAATTGTATCATATTTTCTTTTTGTAAGTAGTCTATTATCAGACTAATTATTAAATTATTTTTATCCATAACATATATTTTCAATAATTTTTTCAACAATGAACTATTATTATCAAATCAAAAATTATTATGCTATACTGTTATATTAATTGTTAAAAAAATTTTAATTTCGAAAAAAACATATTTGTGATACTTAAGTATAGGAAATTCAATTAATGATGGAATTGAGATTTGTATTAAAAATTGATTTTCATATTAATAATAAATATAATAAAATATTAATTATGATATTATGTATATAATATAATAATATTATATTATATATATATAATCTAATGTGTAATAAATATTTAATTAATGACAAATTTGATTTATAAAGTTATATATTAATTTTAAATAGATTATATTTCGCTCAACTAATGTATAAATCTATATTCTTATGTTAATTACATATAAAACTTTAAAAAAAAATTTTATAAAAAAATTTCTATCTCTAGGAAAATAATTCAATTTCATAATTCTCTAACGAAAGATAACAAAGTACTCTCTCGAAGTACATTATGCAATTTTCTTGTTATCTAAAATTAATCAAATTTTCTATCCAAAAAATCATTCTTTTGATTAAGATGATTCATATTCTATCATCAAGCAATATTTATTTATCAATATCAAAAAAAAAAATCTATAGTGGTGATTAGCCAATTCACATTATAAGATATATGAATAATATAATATAATATTGCAATATTCATAATCAAGGATGAAATATAGTATAATATTTAAATCAAAATATATAAATCATAATAATCTGATTTTTTTTTTGTATTGTCATCAATTTCAAATGACAGAGACAAATTGTACAATTGCGTGATATTCTGTAGAAATAGGTGAATCGATCTTTTCGAAGAATTATTATACAAATAATAAATTATACAATAATAAATATAAATATATTACACAAATATATTTTACAATATTATAACATTTTTAATAAAAAATTTTTATTTTACAATCAGATTTCAATTCTTCTCATTTAAAACCAAAACAGAATCAAAGTTTTTTTTATAAAAAATTTAATTGTTCCATTATAAAAATATATAGTAATTAAAAAAGTAATAAATTTTATTTTAGAAAATGAGTTATTATTTTGTTTGATCGAAAAAGATATATATTAATGTAATTTAAATAATATATAGATTTAAAATAAAATGAAAGAAAATTAATATATTCAAACTTGAATACTAATAAAATAATATCAATCTATGATGACAAAGACATAAAATTAAAAAATAAAATTTAAAAATTTTATTCATTATATATTAAATATACAACTTTTTATTTTTTTCAAGCGAAATTTCATATAAAAAATTTATTTTATTTTTACAATTCATAATTATTTTTTAGATATCTATTGAAAATCAATAATTTCAATATTTAATGAGTTATTCAAAGAATTATTTAAAAAAAATTCTAAAGTATATATTATTAAAACTTTTTCTTCATTTAATATAAAGTTAAAACATTGATAGTTTTAAGTTTATCATTATTAAGATTTTATTTTGAATATCTAATGATCCGTTAGAAATTGTCTTCGTACTATCTCAAACGAAAAAAATTGTGTCGATGAGAAAGTAAATCATGTATCAATTATGTATCATATGTATCAATTAATACAATGATCCATTTTATTTTCTATCTAATTTAAACTCTAGAAACACAAGAAATGTACATATCCAATACCACAATATTATGTAATATGACAAAATTCACATAATTAACATATAAAAAGATTGAAATCTCGATTTCAAGATACTAAGTATCATTCCTTATTTCAATAACAGCTCAATAATTAATAAGTCAGTAATTACTGGATATTTAAAAAAAAATCTATTATTATGTATTATATATATATATAATCTACCTAATATATATATAATCTATCTAATATATCTCTAATGAAATATATGAAAATAAATATTTTACTTTTAACTTTTAATATTCGTATGGAGAATATGCGAGAAGATATATATACATGCGAGTTGCGCGCGCATTATATTCTTATGGACAATTTTCATGAATAGCGAATAATAAGCAGCCTTTACACTAATAATAAGTTCGTTCTTTTCTTATTTCAATCAGCAAAATTCAAATGTAAATGAAAAAATATTTGAATAAAATAAGTATTATGAACTGATAAATTTAAAAGCATTGGATTAATTTATATATCTAATAAAATAAAAAAATTTGAAATAGATAAATATTATTATAATTGATATCTTGTTATTCAAAATCTTATAGAAACGTAACGTTATCTTAATTTCTTTGGATAGAGAGCAGTATTCAATTGTTAAAAATTATTTATAAAAATTATTATAAACATCTCTTATTATTATTTTCGATTTTTCTTAAATCAAACTTCTTTAATTAAAATCTTTTGCTTTGACAAAAATTTAATGAAAAATCGTTGATTCAGGTTAGGAATCAAACAATTTCATGAATTTTATCAATTGCTTTTGTAAATATTTTATTCACATTTTAATTTAGAGAATTAATTGTAATATAAATTAGAAATTTATTAGATGAATAAAAAATCATTTATTATCTTCATCAAATCATATAAATTATCTTCGTTAATGCGAATTTCTACACAAATAATATTAACGTAATAAATTATATTTTTAACATTATAAATATTTGATCAAATAAAAAATAATTTCTTTCTTTTTGATATTTTTTAAATTTTTTTAATTTTAATCTTTTCATCTATAGATATTAAAACAAGTTATAAAACAAAAATATTTATAATATTTATAATATTAATAATTTAATATTGAAATGAAATATGCATCCAAATATTCAGTTTTTTAAATTGATCTTCTAGGATTTTATTATTAAAATTAAATGAAAATGAAAAGTAAGGCTTTTAATTTTACTATATCCAAATATGTAACTTTACTAAATTTTTCGAAAAAATTATAGATATATATATACAATTTTTGACAAAGTAAGTACAAGTGATCATTCGTTGATATATTCTATAAACGCGCGCAAAAAATTGAATTATTTCAAAGTTCTTGTGATATATATTTCAAATTTAGGAATATATTTTCAAATTTTTTTCAATTCAATTCAAAAAAAAAATCTTCAAAATTTAAAAATTGATCATATAATACCAATTTTTATAATAATATAATAAATAATCAAATAAAATGTTTCAAATATTCTAGTTTTTCATTTATTGAAATATCTTAATTTTTATAAAATCAATTTTTTTATTTAATTTTTATAGAAGAATTTGTATTTACCTTTAAATTTTTCTTATAGTCGATTAACTGGTCAGCAGCAGGATTTCGTTTTATTTCAGTCATTGTATCGTCTTCAATCTCGTTCTTGCAACAATATCTTCGTAATGATAATCGACGAAAAGCCAGGGTGCTCTGCACACTTGTTCGCGTGCGTTCCAAACAACAACTGATCAATCTCAATAATAACGAACTTTTATCATCTGAGTCGAGCGATGTGTGGTAAATGCGTGCGAGAGCAGCGGTATTACGTATTAACGCTCGATCCAATGAAAACGGTCGAATGACCGGAATAAGGCCCGAACTTGTCTTCGTCATTCTTCGGCACGATTCGTTATGGTCATGAACCAATGAGTTCGATGTCCTGTTATGACTGTTAGTTGTCTTTGATTTTTCGTTTTTTTTCGGTACTTTTACAACTGGTATTTGGAAACTTAGTTACCTTGAAAAACACCTTGAAATTTTCCAGGAATTATCTGAAACAAAGAGTTATTGTTAATGTTTGTAAATGTTCCATATTATTATACTCGATTAGTTGTTTGTTGTCAATTACGATTCACTGATTAAAATTGTATACCAAGAGTTAAGTGATTTTTCGTTGAATCATTTTTGCTTGTTCTAGAGATATGATATTATTATTATTTAATTATAATTTTTTTTAAAATTATATAAATTAACATTCTTATGTAGTAATTTAATAAATGTTTGTAAATGTTCCATATTATTGTACTCGATTTGTTGTTTGTTGTCAATTACGATTCACTGATTAAAATTATACCAAGAGTTAAGTGATTTTTCGTTGAATCATTTTTGTTTGTTCTAGAGGTATGATATTATTATTATTATTTAATTATAATTTTTTTTTAAATTATATAAATTAACATTCTTATGTAGTAATTTAATAAATATAATAAAATATAAAATATTGATAAAATTTAATAAATATTTTATGAAATATTATATTTTTTTTAACTTATACATCTTTTTCTTTCTATTTTTAAAAATTTGTTTGATAATTATAAATAAAATAAATAGAAATTAATTTTTTTATTAAAAATATAAAATATTTTTAAACTTTAATTTCAATTGCAAATTTCATTATTAATTATAAATAATTTATATAACTTTTTTAACATTTTATTTAATATTTATTTAATACTAATGTATTAATTATTCATTGCTATATATTAATCAAAGAAATAGAATTTTATAATACAATATATTTTGATCTGAAATTTGTTTAAACACAAATATTATCTGATGCTATAAAAAATATTCGAAAAATATTATAATTTAATTCGATAATTATCAACTTCAAAATGCTTAAATATAATTAAATACTTCAGTTTTATTTAAAAAACAAAATTTTTTATTACAATATATTACTGATTTCTAGCTATATATAATATATTAAAAATTTTTTTTTATATTTTTTACATATTTTTCATCATTTATAGTTTATAATTAAGAGTTGTTTATTTTAATTTCTTTTTTCACAAAAAAGAGAAAATTAAAGGAAAATTTAGAACTTTTATAATAAAAATAATTTTTTGTTATTAAGAGAAATTCAAATAAAACTATGAGTCAATAGAAGATTATGAAATCATAATGATTTTAGTTCTTCATTTCTATGATGAAATATATTAACTAGAAATTTCATTCTCGACGAAGAAATCAAGGGTTTTACAATTTCTGCAACGAAATTGCTTAAAGTTTCATGAAAAACTAACAAAGAATCTTACATAAGAGAAAAGAAAACATAAAAATACAAGAAAAAAAAAACTCTTATTTAATGAGTTGATTGTTGTAATAAGATATGTTAAGATATATTTTCATTTCTACGCTCTTTGAACAGAACGATTTCTATCGTTTTTCATTTATAAAATTTTCTTATCTTTTAAATTAATAAATAATTATTAAGTATGATATTCATTAATAATCATTAAGTAATAAAGTTGTATTAATAACTATAATTCATTGAAAAATTTTTACAATATGATTTCCAATTATTATCGAAATATCAAAAATGTATATTCATGTTTTTATTCTATTTTTCTTGCTCATTGAGCTGATATTACAAATTTTTTTTTAGATTTCTACATTTGAATGAGATAATTAATCAACCAAAAGTTATTTATAATACATAAACTGAATTCACACTAAATGAATCAAAATCACATGATTGCGTATACAGATAATTCTTTAATTAGATTTTTATTTAAATGAATTTGATCTAAATATTTTTTAATGAATTAATGAATCAGATAAAGAAATGGAAGAAATATTTTTTAGTATAAAGTAAATATTTTATCTAACTTTAAAAAAAATTTAATATTTTTTATTTTCAAATACGAAATACGATTTTAAAACTATTTAAATAACTATTTTAAAATAATTTTATAAAAATCAAGATGACAAAAATACTTTTATAAAAACTATAAAAAACAAAAAAAAAGATTTTTTGATACAAACATATATAATAAACTTTTCAATAATGAATGTGCATTATAAAGTTTATGAAAATATTTTTTATTTTTATGCTACTATGTATTATTACATTCATATCAAAATAGTTAAATATTTTTTTTTTAAATTTAATCTTATTAAAAATTTATTTTATTAATCTATGAATTTGTATTCATTGATTAATACTCTATTTATCAATCAATCACTATTATTAATGATTATATCGATCTAATAGATCATTTAAATCATAATAATTAATGAGATAATAAAATATTTAATGGTATTTTAATATATCATAACTTATCTACATATAACTATTTTATCTATATATCTATTTCTAAGTATTACATTATTATTATATTATAAAATTATTAAAAAGAAATTAAAAAATATAATATTTGTAATTAAATAAATAACAATTTAAACATTTGAAAGAAAAATTAAAGAAAATTGTGATTAATTATTCAAAATAATTATCGTGTTGTTATGTAAAAATTGTTTTCATTAATTATTATTCAATATTATTAAATGTACGACATAAACATTTTCTAATCATTTAAAAAATATCAAAAAATTTATCGATAATCGAAGTTGAAAAACAAAGTACTGATAATAAATACAAAATATATGTATTTTAAATCAATATAACATAAGCATATATATATTTCAATAAAATTTCAATTAAACATCATTACATGTATGTAATATTTTTATATAATTATTATAACACGTCATATTTTAATGGAATAGGTAAATATTTTTTTTTTACATACCTTGGTTTATAAATATAAACTGCATTTTATAATTTTAATTAATAATAATATAATTTTTTAATTGCTAATTGTTTTACTAACCTATTTTTGTTCACTAGCACCATCAGAAATTAACAAAAGTTTACAAAAACTAGGCATTTATTAATACATTTTATATATATTAAATTTTAGCTCACTGGTAAATATTCAAAATTAATTCCTTAAAAACCAAATTATTTTACAAAAACCAATAAATTAATAGAAACTGATTTTTGTAAAAAAAAAAAAAAAGAAAAAAAAGTGATGTCTAACCACATAAATATACTCAGTTTCACATAAATTCAACAAATATATATAGAAAAAGGCGCATAAATATATATAATTGAAATCGAATTGAAACTCGAAATATTATAATCGGAACTGTATTAATATAGATATGATGGAGTATGATCGAGTTTTTTTTTTATTAAAACAATTATTAATTGAATTCTTAATATATGAATAAATATTGTTAAAAAAAAATTCTCACTTTTGAATAATCTCTCAATTTTTATAAAAACTAAAAATTATTTTTACAAAAAAATATTCTTATATATACTTCAAATTATTTGCCTTTTTGTCAAATAAATAGAAATTAAATTAAATATCCAAAATCAGAAATAATAATATTTATATATACCTAATAGGTAAGATGATTTTAATTGTGAATTCTTTTATTTCAAATAAAAATCATGTTTTAACAAAAATTCAAAGATTATTTATGAAAACTGTAATATAAAAAATTCTATATATAATTCAATTTCAAAATAAATATTGCATATTAGAAACATCTTATGTTCATGTTAACAGAAGTAAATCGAGACATATTGTTTTGCAACTTTCTTTATTAACGCCTTTGCAGCTTCATCAGAGCCAGGTACAATTCCGAGCTCGACACTGAAAGCGAGCTCACACACAAAAAATGCGCAGCTCTTATATATCGTACACATTTTTAATTTCACTGTCCGTCATTTATAACACAGGAATTTATAAAAATTCTTGTAAATTCAAATATCATGGCGACTTTTTTCTAAATTTCAATGCATGAAATTATACTACATTTCAGGACGCTACATATATTGGTTAAAATGCACAATTTTTAAACCATCTCTTGCGTATAAAGAATACAAATAAGTTTTTCATCTTTGGTAATTGTATAAGAAGGAAATTGACGATAAATTAAAATTGCAGCGACCAATGAAAGATTAACATATGATTTCATATGTGTATATGTATCTATATGTATATCCAAAACCATATCTATTTCGTTTATCGATAAAAACTTAAATTACGAAAAACACTATACAAATATCTCGCAATAGTTTATGTACATAATTATATAAATTCATTGCAATACTCTTGAAAGATCTTATAATTTTGAAAAAAATAGGCGCAAACACTGTAATATTGAAGAAGAGTTGATAGTAGAACATAAAAAATTATGTTATATTACATTTCACATATACATATATTTTTATGCAAATCAAATTATTTAAGTTTGGAAAATAATATATTTTCTAATGGAAACAATTTACAATAGATTATTTTTAAATACTATCCAGGTCGGTTGCACTTCTCATCCCTGCAAATGAACATTGTACAATGTTTGTTATCTGACTTCCATAATATAGTAATCTTGATTTTATTGCAGCTAGATAGCAAATGTCACGGCAGCTTTGAAACTCATTATCCCGTATTTTCTATTGATTTATCACATTAATTGGTGGAAATATAATATTATAATTCCAACGTTCTTTGACACTGGATTTCAAGACGTTTTAAAAGTTTTTACATACATACTTCGCAATAAAAAGAATATAATGCGTAATTGTCAAAAAAAAATTTCATTAAAAATTACGTTATTGATGTATGAAATTGAATCAATATTTCAATAAAAGATGTTTTTAGAATTAAAAATTAAAAATTATAAAGTGTTGCATTAAGAGATCTAATTATATCTTTCAATTTTAAAAAAATTTCCTAACAAACGTCTTTTATATGAAATAAATTAATTTCAATATTTAACAAAAAAAGCTTTCTGTTTAAGATTTATCCGTAATGAAATATTGAAGATGATTCTTATTCTTAAAAGTCGCACAAAATATCTTTTTCTTTCGTCGTTACATTATTTGTACGATTATTTGTATATTTCGCTACAATCATTATGTAATTATAATTAAATAGATGCAGAAATTGCTTAATCAAAAGATAGATCTGATTTGTCAATTTCATAATAATATATCACGTAACCATTTAAACGCCTCGATTTACACGTAAAAGTTCAAACTGAATTATACACCGGGATCAATATATTTCTAGAATTTCTAGGCTAGCCATTCATTGGCACTGATAAAGGACATTGCACTTGCCACACAATTAGATGACTTTGTTCTCCGTGTTCTTCAGCATTAGCGGACACAGCATTATTAGAACGTTCTATTTCTGTATCTTCTCCATCACCTGAAAAAATAATAATTTACAATGAATAACAAAAATTTATAATAGAAATAAGAATAAGAAGTTATTAGCCATTCTTTATACAATATGATGCATGTCAGCTGGAAATGCCCGACCCCCAGAGAATGAAAAAAAGCAAAACAATTGTACAATATATACAACTGCTTCAGAAACGGAGGTGCAGACATAGTTTTTTTTGTATTAATGAAAATTATTATAAAAATAATTTGTGCTATACAGAAGCAAATGATTTTAGATTAATTATTCATATTCTTTGATATAAAATAAAAAATATAATGACAACACCTGTAAACAAACATGTATACATTTTATATCTCAATATTTTCATAAAGAAAAATCATTTTAATGTCAGGTTAGAGATATATCTAACTACTTGCGAACTTGTTAGTTTAGAATTTCATTACACCGTGCATAAAACATAATTTTAGTAGTTAGTACAGGTTTCATTGATAAATACAAATAATTTATTCACTCAATTGTATAAACAGTTGCGTAAATCGAAATAAAAACCCATTAACCGATTTTCATTTTTCTCTGGGGGCATACCTGACCAACTGCCATACAATTAAATGAGTCGCCACATCACTTTCGTCTTCCGCTTCATCCGCTGCAAGTGTTATAATTGTATAAAATAAGATTTTGATAGCAATGATAAAATAATAAGAATCAAATTGAATAACATATTTTATATTATTTACATTTTAATTATAATTATAATACTTATAAGTTATAATACTTAATAATTTGTTCATATAATTGTCCATAATGTATATTATGAACAATAAATTTATTAATATGATTGCTTACCAACTCTAAAATCTATATAGCCTTCTCCTCCTGAAAGAACAAGCATAGCAGGTTGAGAACCATCTGATACTGCACTTTGACCGCCATGACCTACAATATTAATTTAAAAAAATTTATAAATTTTAATTTTATATTTTTTATATAATTTAAGAAATTAATCAAATACACATAAATAAACATACCAGGCACTGCAACAAACATTTTAACCGCATCTCTATGCCCATGGAAACTAAGTTGCGCGTGAGCCATACTACAATAAGGTATAAAACTACCAGGTGTAACGCCACGATCTGAGGCAAAAATTCTGACACCAACACCTGGTACATCATTTTTAGCATTTCCTGCTTGAACTCTGGATACTGCCATTGAACCACCAGCACCTATTTTATATTCACATATATTCATAAACATTTATTGATAAATATATATTTATTATTAAAAATTTCAATTATAATAATTAATTAATTCTTTTAACTTACTTTCAGATAAAGGAACGGAAATTATTACTCCATTTCCTGTGCCAATCCATAGCCTATTTGAGGAAATGAGTAATGCGGTAATTCTTACAAATGAAAAACCAAGTTTTCCAGTTCCAAGCATTTTGCTAACATAAGGTTCAATATCAACATCCTGGAGATGCTGATAAGTATGAGCATGATAAAGTCTTAATGTTGAATCTAATCTAATGCTGACCCACACTCCTTCACCTAACCAAGCTAATTGTCTTACTTGCGATTCTCGTCGTGGATGAGCATCCACGGTGCACTAGAAGTTTAATTTATAAAAATTTGTTTATATATTATTTAATTTTGTAATATTTAAATCTTAAAAAGATAAAATTTATGTACCTCAACAGTCATTGATACTGGATCTATTACATGAATCTTATTTCTATATCCGCACCATACAGTTTTGCCACTAACAGCAGTCATGCACCTAATTGAATGTTGTGGACTACCCAAAGTAATCACATGATATTGAGACAAATCCCATTGTCCATCTGCACCTCTTCGAAATAATGCAACAGTTCCATCAGCAAGAGCAACAAGAACTCGTCCTTGGACATGTCTACAAAAAATATATATATCAAATATCTTTCACAAATTAAGAATATTAATTATTTTAAGTAATGATAAAAATTACATACACAATAGCTAATGCAGCATCCTTCAATTCAACAGAATGCAAACAAACTGACCACTTAGCGACAGCTGAATGAACGAATACTGCACCATTTTGAGCTCCAAGCCACATTGTTGGTTGTATTGAAGACATTTTTTCTATAGGTGTATCTTCTTCAATTTTATTTTGTTTTTCTTCATTTGTATCATTTTTTTCATCCAATTGTGAGCTTGGTGTTTCTAAATTAGTTTTTACAAAATGTACTTTGCCTAAATTTGTGGTTTCACTATCTACACTTTCCAAACTTTGTGATTCAATAGGAATAATTTGATTAGTATCATCTGATTTTTTAACATTTTCACTGTTTTGTTCTTCTGAGGAATCTAACTCATTTTTATTTTTTTCCAATGATGATTGAGTTTCTTGTTCATTTTTTTGGATGTTCTGTTCAGAATTTGAAGTTGTATTTATTTCATCATTCTCATTTATTCCATTGGCAGTTCGAATTGAATCTTCATTCATAGCTTGAGCATAATCACTCTCTTTGGCTCCAGGTACACTTGCAATGCAAAGTAAATGTCCTTGACAAACACTAAAGACTTCCAAAATATCAGCTGGATTATTAGCATCTATCACAGTAACTTTTGACATTTTTTGAGTAGATGTACAAATCCATACTAATGAGCTAAGATGTTGCTCTAATTGTTCTGCTTCAACTCTTTGATTTTCATTCTCTTGAAGTTCCTTATCTAAATGTTCGATAGCATCTTCTGCTTCAGTTTTTGTGTTCGTACTTATTTCTTGAGCTTCAGCAGCATAAAACACGCTTCCTCCAACCATACAACCACCATCTCGAGTTTTACCACCACTTAAGTTTACACCAGCACCACACCATATCTAAATAATGAAAAACAAAAAAAAAAAAAAAGAAAGAAAAAATTATAATAATAATTGTATAAATGCAAATAATATATTACTATTTTAGTTATATAAAAAAATAATTATAATTAACTATAAAAAAATTAAATATAATTAAATATAAAAAAATAATTTATAATTAACTTATATATAAATAAAAAATAAATATACCTTCATGCCAGGCTCAGATTCCTGTAAAGGTCTGCAATAAACAGGCACAGGAACAGGTTGTCTAACTGGAGCACTTGGTTTTCCAGGTAAACTCCAACCATAAGCGTGTAATCGTCCATCCTCTTTTCTAACATGAGCGCGAACTTGACGATATTGTTCTCTTCGTTCATTTGCACGTCTCGCTACGAGTTTCTCAGAAGATCTGTAAAAATGTATCAAGATTAAGTTAATTATTAAATTATTTTTTAAAAAAATATGATCAAGACAGAATTTATAGAAGTTATAAAGTTAGTAAATTTACTGAATGTTGTTGTTTGTTCAACCATATATTCCTACGAAGACTCTCTTGATCACAGAACATTTTCTTGAATTCAAATGTAGTTTTAATCCGATAGTATTTTTCATCATCTTGTATAACAATGTTCAGGTTCATTATTACTTGCACAATAAGATTTATATATATCCACGTTTAGAAGCGAAAAGTTAGACATAGAGCAGAACAGATTTACCTGCTGGCCAAAAAGCACCCCACCGAAAACCAGAATAACCAGGTATCTCTTGACAACGCCATGAAGGAGAGGCAAGGACGAAACCCGAACGAAAAATCAAAGCGCAGAGCAAGAGTGAAATAAAAGCCAAGTTTATAACACAGTCAAAATTTCATTTATTTATTGATCAATGATGATCATATATATTATTTTCTTTTAAAAATGTACAAACTTTTATTTACAAAACTATTGCTTTTTAAGCATGATTTTGCAATGATAACAGACAATTTATAAGATTAATCATTACTATTTTTAAATATATCCCCACAATGAGTGGTAGATCGATTGATATAATAAATATATATATAAGAAATATTCCATTTTAATACAAATGATCATTTATAATTTGATTTATATATGACAAATAGATATATTAATAAGAATAAGATTGTCAAAAGAGAAAAAGGCTATGTGCAATGGATCATAATCCTATTTCAGTACTTTATTGTAAGCGCATATGATATTGCGCATAAAATATACATCCATAATTTTTTTTTCTTTAAAAAATGGCAGGTATAGAGAAATTGTAACGACAATTTGTTATAAACCATCACATTTAAAAATTGCTCAGGCAAATTATTTAGAAATGACTCACATTTCTTAAGAACGATCAAGAGTAATTGAGACTCGCGACAAAAGATTACGGATCCCAACTGACCAAAGAGGACTCTAATCTGGAAAGATGATGTCGATTCAAAAAATATTACTCAAAAGTCAACATAATAAAATTCTATCCCATCAAGAGAAAAAATCTCTTATCATCTTGCAATAGCTTTGATAAAAATGTTAAAATAAACTTTATGCATAAAGTTTGTGTATTGAGAGTATCTTTTTATAAAAATTTTCGTTGTAGAAACAATCACAGTATGCTAAAACTGTAATTGAAGAAAGCGTGATAATAAAGAAATAAATCTCTATATAAAAGATAGAGAAAAATTTGGCAGACTTTAATGTCAGATTCTGATATCTAAGTGCGTGTATAGAATTTGATTGATTTCTCACATGGTGTCTCCTTGGTCGAAAAACTCATGGCGACCTTTCAACGTACGTCTACGCATGGTATCCAGAGGTGGTGCTGGAACAACTTGATTGGTTGGTGCACTGTATCTCATGTGAGGTAATGTATGTGGTCCGCGAACTAATGTTCCTCGATCAGCAGGTCCTGTGAAGAGACTACTAAAACTATAAACAAAATAAATTTGAAAACAATAAATTATTATCGAATTTAATGTTTCAATTTCTCGCTATATAAGCAATACTAACAACTTCCACACTGATACTTTTCCACCTGATATACTAGAAGGATCAGTCTTTGTTGCTCGTATCATTTCCGTCCATCTAACTGCTTCTTGAAGTTCCATAAAGCGTTCTTTATATTGATTCCTTTCCATAAGAACTCTAGCCATTTCGACTCTAGTAAACCTTTTTCTTTGTGCTAACGATACATCTTCTTCATCATCGCTTTTAGCTGCTTTTGCTGCTGCTTCAGCTTCTTCTTTAACTTTTTTCAATTCTTCTTCAAGGACAACAACCTTTTGCCGTAACCGTTCTCTAGCTTGTTGTAAAGCTCGAACTTCTTCACGTAATATTTCTTGTTCACTAAAAAACATATTAATTATATTTCAATACATATTATAAAACATATTTCAATAATTTTATCATAAAATTATCAAATTTTATCATAAAATAATGTCTATTTATAATATTATAATAACTATATATTATTTCACTTTAAAAATATGATTTTACCTTGTGAGTTCATCTACTTTAACTATTAAATCGTCTTTAACAATGTTAAGCGCATTTCTGAAAAAATAAATATATTATAATATAAAATATTATAATAAATACTATATGCTGTTATAAAATTTAAATAAAATACTCACTTTGTAGCTAATAATTCATTATTTTCCATAATAAGATTCTCAACTTCTTTTCCCATTCCTAATAAAATATAATTTTCCATAAATAATTCATTAAAATATAAATAATTTATTTTAATTATAAAAAATAAATTTTAATATAAAAATATATCATCTTACCAAAGAAATTGTCATTGACTGCAGAAGTTATTTATATCATGCAATTATTTAGTCAAAATATGACCACAGCCAGCAGAAGTAAAGAGGCAAGCAATGAAATATAAAAATATATTAATATATTTTTCCACATAATTAAAAAATAAAATTGTATATAAAAAATAACAATAACAATAGTCAATTTTAAAAATTATTACAAATACACAATATTTATAAATATAGAATGTTCATGTTCCATTCCAATTTGTACTGATTTTTCTTCTATCCATTTTAAATTTCAATTTATATAAAGATTTTACTACTTTATTGCATAATATTTTATTGCAAATTTGCAAATTTAACTTCGTATTAATTAATTATTATAATCAACAATTATATAATTTATATTACAATTTAAGATGCCATAAAAGGATAGTATAAACAGTAATTAAAGCATAATGATTTCTTTTCAATATCCAAAATTATTTTTTTTATTATTTTTTTTTATTATTATTTTTCTTGTTATGATTATTATTATTATTATTATTGATATTATTCATATTTTATATATGAATATTATTTTATTTTTAATATTAACCCTTAGAGTTCTAATTTAAAAATTATCATACATAATATATGATAACTTGATATTATTAAATTAAAAAAATCATGCAATTTTCTTGATTTTATTGAAATATTAATTTTATCATCATTAGTATAAAAAAATTAAACATGCTTGATTAACACAAAAGGAATATTATGCTATTTGATTTGTTAATAATTATGTTTATTATAATATAAATTTTTCTTTTTCTTTCTTTGCAAATAAAAAAATGAAGAACTCAAAGGATTAATAAGCAAATATTTATATAAATATTTATATATTTTATAAGATGTACCTGAAGAAGCATATTCCCCAGGATGAACCCAACTACCTAAGATATTAAGAATAAAATGTTAATTAAAACTTTAAAACTATAAAATTATATTATAATAATTAAAATGTTAAATAATTACCAGTGATATCTGCTCCTTCATCCATTTCTCCTAATGCATCAGCATCTTGAAAACTGAGTTCCTGATACAATGTGTTACCACTTCGTTGTTCTCTTTCTGTTCTACTTCTTCCACTTGGAGTAGTAGCTATCTTTTCTATAGTTGGTGATGTTGGTGTAACCAAAGGTGGAGGTATTTCAGTTTCTGGACTTTCATCTATAAAATAAATTGGAAAATAAAAATATAAATATTAGATTTAAAAAATTTCTAGAAAGATTTCTAAAAAGAAAAAAAAAACATACGTCTAGAAATTGCAGTTGTTTTATTTGCTTGTGCTGGTTTATCTGTTAATTGACTTTTATCAGATGTCTCAATAGCAGCTTCGCTGCTACTATCTAACATTTCAGTCCTTAAATTAGCAACAGCATTTGATGGATTTTCTTGTTGAATATCTTCTGCATTTATACTAGCTTCCAAACTCTGAAAGCCATAACTTAGTGGTCCTGAACTTCGTGACATGTGAGTTAAACCAAGAGATGGTAAGCGAGATGGACCTCGACCACTAGTCGAATTTTCTAATCTTTCTGTACTTCCAACTAACATTTTTGTTCTTTCCATATAATCTACATGCGTTTTAAATAATTCCGTATATCTCTCATGTAGACGAGTATATTCGCGCTTCAATTCGGCTTCTTTTTCTTCAAGACGAACAACTAAACAAATAAAAAAAATAATATTGATGAATATTTATTGTAATAATCAAAAAATTGTAAGATTATATATCACAAAACATATTCTAGATTTTAATTCTTGAAATAAGCTTAGATATAAATTTTTATTTTAAATGTATATATATTATTAATTTTCTAAATATTAAAAAATGCAAAAAAATTTTTATTATAGGAATATTATTTGATTTCATAAGAAAAATTTAAAAATTAAAAATTTTGTATTAGTTACTTACAAATGTCTTAATATTAATGATTTTTTTCATAAATGAAAAATATGCATATTTATATATAATTTTTTTATTATATAAATTTATTATGTATTTCAAAATGCAAATATTAATAATTATTTAAAAAACGAGTGAATTATCTCTGAATTCAATAATTTTTGAATATGAATATTTTAAACAACTTTTTCTTATACATATAACTATCACTTGTTTACTTTTTGAGATATTTATAAAAAATTGTTATTATTACATTAAATTATTTATATATATATGTATCTTATGAATTCGCACAATACGAAAATAAAATATAGGGTCAATGACAATGAAATTGTAATGATAAATATTATATGCAAATCTGATTGTTATAACTAAGACTGAAGCAATTATACATATAGAAAACAATTGTTTTTAGTATTGATTGCTATAAAATCCAAAAATCATCGAAATCAAAAACATTCGTTTTCCAAATAATTATCTAAATATTCTATTAAATTTTTTTCATCAAATTAAACATGAAAAACTTGCATTTTTAATAATAGAAATAATAGTATATATAACATGTACATTTAAATTAAATATAATATAATATACAATATAAAAATAAATTATACATTATATATTAAATATATAATAAATAATAATAATAAATAAAACATCAAATAATAAAACAAATATTTAGAAATATGCATGCAAATATTTTAGATCCCAGATGCACATATAATTTTTAAATAAATAAATAAATAAACATAAAACATAAACTTTCTACTCTACTGTAGAGGGATGTTCTATGAAGGGATGAACTGAGAGAGCCATAATTTGTACCGTGATCATGTGAATTTTTTGTCTTCAGTTCCAGCATTCTTACAATTGATTCCAAACTATCAATTTTTGATAGAAGTTCTTTTCTTTCATCTTCTGCTACATCTTCTAGTTCTAATAATTTCTATTCAAAAAATCATAAAGTTTATTTTTCATCAAAGATCATTATACATTATTTCATATGATATATCAAAATTAAAAAATACTAAAAAACTTGAAATCATACTTGATCAGATGTTTTTCTTAATTGTTTTTCTCTTTCATATTGAGTAACAAGTTGTTCATTATCTTCTCTTAACAATTCTAATTCAACTTCACGTTCTTGATTTTCAGTATAAGATATGTCTAGACATTCTAGAACATTGACTAGGAGGGGCATTAGGTCTTTCACTACATCTTCATCGTAACGAGCTATCATTTTTTCAAATTCTTGATAAATACTACCAGCCAAAGATTGTACTTTTTCTGACATGACCACATGACTATCTTCATGAGTTCCATATACTGTTTCTTGATCCATTTGTATTTGACTCATTTTTTACACCTAAAATATAAAAATTCCAAATAAATATTACATTTTTTAATTTTTTTATTATAATTTAAGTTTTTCTTTTAAATTCTATTCATATTTTTTTCTTTTTCATTAATATATAACATTATATTTTAAAGTAGTTTTTAGGCATTTTGCCAAATAAGCAGTTTATATTATAAAATAAGAATGACATATCAGGAACAGCATTGCACAACTATATAAGAAAGTAAATTTTTATTATTGCGCATTTGAACAAACAATATTAATATAAAGATGCTAATATAAAAATGTAGAAACGATCGTTACACTCAACTCTTAGTACTTCGATTTTACTTCAATAATAATTATGAACTTTGTTAAAAAAGATTCAAGTAACAAAACGTGGTTAAAAATTAATTTCATAATTTTTATACGGTTCAAAATTAATCATAATTTTATGATGCATTAATTGCCAAATACGGCTATAAAATTCTTGATAAATGTTTGTAAGAAATTCAAACGTCAAACGCATAACTGCACATAACCTTGCACTATACACAATTCAAAATCAGAATACACTTTTAAAACGATATAATTAAATTAAGTCATTGCGATTTCATATTAAAAAATTGGTGAACCCCATGGTACATTTGTATTATCACTATTTTTAAGTATCAGAAGCTTTTCTGAAAACAAAGTGGAACGTCTTGCCTTGAAGTGGCCTGTTCCGTGTTGTGATTTGTGACGTTTCGCAACCACTGGATCTCCTGCTTCTCCTTTTTTCTCTCGTTGTTTTCTCACTCAATTGAACACTTGAACACTAAAACGTTGTACCTGATCATACGAAACGCACCAAGGCGGCGCGGACTAGAGAATACATTTTTCATGCATTACGTTGTAGCTTTTGACATTAGCCAATTTCATTAGTTTCTGTCAACTCTGTTGACGATCGTCTATACGTAGACCTTCGCCATTTTTTTCACTCAATACCGACCAATACTATAGACGTATGGTTAGCTCCTGACGTGTTCACAAATAAACCTATGAAATCACAAGAGATGGAAACTTATTTTTCCGTTTCCATCATGCCCGTTAGATGGCTGTATCTTCATTCTGTTTCCATAAAGCTTTATTAGATAATGTAATAGCGTTCCCTTAACCCGAGTATGATATATACAGATTGTTTGTAATGAATCATTCCTCTATTATCGCAATAATTCTTCAAAAAGACGCTACTACATTCATAGATAATATATATTTAATACTTCCAAGTTTTGAATGTTTTTAAGGCTTTATTTGTACTATTTAGAGGGATAACAAAAATTTTTTTGAACTTAAAAATGTAATAACATTTTAAAAGAAATAATATAAAAACAAAAATATTATACATTTCAAATAGAAGATAATGTATTACAGTTATGTAAAGATCATTAATAAGATCATTTAAAACTATAATTAATAACGACTACGAAAACTTCCTCTACCACCTCTATTTCCACTACTTCTTCCGCGTGAATTATTCATTCCATATCCTCTATTACTACCGCCTCTGTATCCACTATAATTATCATATCTTGAATAACCGCCTTTGTTACCACCTCCACTATAAGGTCTCCCACGATAACCGGCACCTCCGCGCATCATTTTTGAAGGATTACCGCTATCCAAATGAAAACCTATTGAATGTCCTCTTGGTGGCCTTCGTGATTGGAAACCACCACCTGTAATCTGATCTAGTTCATAACGACAAGCATTCATTCCACATAATGATTTGATCACGTTTAGTACCTAAAAAAAAAAAAAAAAGAAAGCAATTTTTTGTTATTTATTTGAAGAAAAAGGGATAAAACAAAAAAAAACAAAAATTATAAAATAGTACTTTTTGTTCGTTTGAACTTAATTCTAGAATAGTTTCTGGTTCTTTGGCAGCTTTCACAACAAGACTTTCTAATGCAGGTCGTAAGGCTACTATTGCTGCTGCATGAATTGGATCCATATCTAAGTTGATCCAGTTATCTAGTTTTACCACATTATCAATATATTCAACTTTTCGGGAACCAAATAGTAATAAATGAATGGGTGATACCATAGTCATCTGTTTACAAGATACTGCTCTTGTACGAATCTAGAAATAAATACTAAATTAATATTATTCTATGATATGTTATCATAAATATTATTGTAATTATTATATCTATTAAAATAGAAAAACAATTACTTTTTCACCAAATACGAAAAATGGAAATGGAAAATTTTGTTCATAATTACTACAATTGACTGATGTTTTATGAATCAATGCTGCTTTAGATTCAGTAGTGAGAACTTTTCTTTTTTCTTTATGATAGCAAACATTTGGATAAAGACCCATACATAATAATGCAGTAATTGTATCAAGACGAACATCCGCACCAGCTTGATAATTTAATGGTGTAGGGCAAAGAGTTTCTTCTGGAAATCCAGCACTTTGCAAAAGTGCTTGCAATTGATACTACAGATAAAATATATTATTGACATTTAAATATTTTATTGACATATTGATATTTATTTTTTATGTAAAAAAGTAATTATTTATAATTATTTACCTTTGCTTCCCATGTTACTCTCAATGTGGGCATACTTAAATTTTTTGAATCACAAAATGCTTGCTCTGCATACTCTCCACCAGCTCTAGCTTCTTCCCATGCTTGAAAAGCATGTAACATTGCTACATGATCGCTATATCTTGCACCAGCAAACCATTTTTGTTGTGCAGATAATCGTCTTACATCCGGGCCCATATTATATACTTCTGGAAATGTTGTACTATTTGCAGCCATTGTGGAAAGTGCATCACCAACACAAAATATACAACCAAGAATCATCATTTTGCCTAAACGAGGCTCTATTGGTAGTCGAGCCAATATTTTACCAAGAGGAGTTAGTTCATTATTTTCATCCAAACATTTCATTTCTAAAACAAAATTTTGAAGAGAAAAAAAAATTGATAAATATAATACTATTAAATATTAATAACGATTAAATGTTATTCGATGAAAGATATACCGCGTAATATAACTTCTGCTTCGATTACAGCATCTATTGGTGGTGGTTCAATTGCCTTAGATAAGAATTTTCCAATACTTCCTAATCTTAATAATTTAATGCTCAATGCTAACTCGTGTAAAGGTGTTCTAAACATTTCTGGAGTCATATGTTCATCCATTTTATTGAATCGTGCTTTGGAACATAAGTGGAAACAAAATCCTGGTCTAACACGACCTGCCCGACCTTTTCTTTGTTCTAAGTTTGTTTTACTAGCCCAAACAGTAGCATAATTAGTCATATTATTGTGAGAAGTAAAAAGCTTCATTTTAGCTTTACAAGAATCTATTACATAAACTACGTCATTAATTGTTATTGATGTTTCAGCAATGTTCGTTGCTAAAATAATTTTTGTTATTCCAGAAGGTACAGGATCAAAAACTTTACGTTGATCTTCTCTCGGTAATTGTGAATGCAATGGTATAATCACATAACTTAATCCTCCATAAATGGGATGTTGTTGTAAATGTTTCATTAATGCAAATATCAAATTCCAGCCAGGTAAAAATATTAATATAGCACCAGGAATGCTTTGATCATTAATATATTTCAATAAAGCTTCTATAAGTTCAAAACTTATTTCTTTTTCAGAAAGTTGTGCCATAGCATTTTTTGTTTGTATAGAATATTCTGGGTCAATTATTTTGTTCAAGTTCTCTTCTGGTTCACCTTCAGTTGGTAAATCATCTGAATCTCGATTTTTTCGTTTTTTGGAATCCATAGGAGGTATAAAATTTGTTAATTGTATACAATCTTCTAAGAAATATTGCTGTACTGGATATGATCTACCGGGTATTTCTATTACTGGACAATTATTAAAATAATTACTAAATAACGTTGTATCAATCGTAGCCGACATTAAAATAATTCGTAAATCTGGATACATATGAATCATATCACGAAGCACAACCATAATAAAATCAGAATTAACATCTCGTTCATGAATTTCATCAACAATAACATGTGATACACCTCTTAAACCACCTTCTAATTTTCTCAAAAGTACACCAACAGTACAGAACATTATACTACCATAAGGTCTTGGCAAACAAGATTCAAATCTTACAGAATAACCAACAGATTGTCCTAAATTTTCACATCTTTCAGAAGCAACTCGATCAGATACAGATACAGCAGATATTCTTCTAGGTTGTGTAATAGCAATATTGCAAAATGCACCTTGACCCGATGCAATATAATCATCTAGAATAAACTGACATACTTGAGTTGTTTTACCACAACCTGTGTTTCCTCGAATAATAATTATAGAATTTTCATTAATAGCATTCATTATTTCATTCTTCTTTAAGAAAACTGGTAAACTAGATCTTTCCTTAATACTTTTTTGAAGATTATCATTTTGTTGCAATCTTTCTCGTTGTTCATGTAGTAAATCATCTGACAATTGTTCTAAAGTCATTATGGCTAATGGTCCTTCATCAATATTGCAACCAGTCCATGGATTCCAATTTTGTTGTGGTGGAGACCAACTTACTACTCCAGCTGGTTGTGGTGCAGATGAAATAAAATCATCCAACACTTGATTTGTTAATAGAGAGATAGAAACATTAGCTTGATTTCCTTCATTTATATTTAATTGCTATAATATAAATTAATATGATAAAAATTATAATTTAATATTATTCAATAAAAACATTGTAAATTTACAAGAAATAACCAAATAACCAAAGATCAATAAATTACCTGATTTGATTTCAATTCAACAGGTGTTATATTCAAACATGATAGAACATCATTTATCTGATTTATTAAATCTGGTGAAATTTTAATTGGATATGGTTTTATTTGTTCTGCCTCCTTATTTTTTTTCAAAGTTCCACTAAATGCCTCAATAACACCAAGATGATATAATTGTCGAACAAGAGATAAAGCACAACTTTTTGATGCAGTTTGTTTATTTGAACCAGTTTCACGACCAGTAATATCTAAAATTTATTTTTATTAAAATTTTTTGTTAAAAATTAATTATAAATATTTATTTAAAAATTAACATACTTCTTCCAAGTTGTTTTACATAAAATGTCATTTCAGCCATGAAACTCCTATACAAAAATTCATATTATTAATATTTTAAACATATTTTAAATTTCTGTGTACATAAATCTAACAAAATTATAATGACATAAATTCAACTTACCATTTGAAAATATCCAAGACCACATTGGAGTACAGTGTAATAAACTTATATGAGTGATTGCACCAAAACCGTTATTGAATCATTTCAATAAAAGTTCTGGTTAAACAGTTTTATCTGTGCACGAGAGAAAATAACATTTTTCTCTTGTACCAGCATTAAATGTAAGTAAACAGGGTACTCTAAAATGGTCTTGTGGAATTTCAAATGGTATGGTAAATCACTCATGCAATTTGCTTTTGTCATCTTGAAACAGATTCTTTAATATAATTGGAACTTCAAATGCAATCATAATATTGTAGTAATAATTTCCAACCCAATGTAAAAGTAAACAGCTACATTGAAACAATCCATACCTCGTATGATCTGGACCAAGTGGGGTATATTTGTAATCAGTGTTAATTTTATTAGTTTGCATAAATTGATGAAGTTTTGATTTAGCATTTTCTATAGTCCAATTTCCATGAATTCTAGAATTTACATCAACATCTTCTGCATCCTCAACTTTTTTCTGATCTGCTATTCTATCAATATAGGTATAATTGCTTTGACCATGTTCATTATAAGCTCTATATGCTTGACCTATATCATTTGGACCCATTCCATCTTGAAATACAGGTCTTATTGGACTACAAGGTTCTGATTTAATATTTCCTAAATTCAATTGAACATTTCCTGAATCTTTTGGAACATCGTTTGGATTCACGTGTCCAGTACGAACTAAATAATTAACATAATCTCTAGCTGCATTTCCTTGAGCATCTTTTTTGTTAGTTGAATTTCCTGCACCCACATAATCAAATCCAGGTACTCGCAATTCACAAAGAAATCGATGTCGATGTTTCGGTCCTATAAAATTATTAGTTTTTAATAAATTTTTAATTTTATATTGTTTACAAAACTATTTATAATACCTGTTTGTCTCACATCAAATTGTGGTTCTTTACTATTTTTTGTACACCATTGATGAAAAAAAGATTTTATGTCACCCATTTCGAAATTTTAATTACCCACTTTAATAAATGTATAAAGTTCTGAATATTTATCAATAAAATTAATATAACCTGCATACAAAGAGAATTCTCAAACAACTGCTTCTATGGCGTCAAACGGAAACGGAAGTATTTGCATCCTATCATGATTTTGTGAATAAATCGATTTATACATGTTTATATGATGTATAGATATATAGAGCATTCTTTCAAATAATAAAATGTAAGATATTATTATAAATATAATTTGTATTGATTTCTGTAATTTAAAATATTTTAATATATTTATCAATGACATTAATTTCTGTCCTATTATAGATGAACTATTATAGTATGGATCGATCCTATTATAAATTTCAAATGATATGTTATCCTAGTTTCGAATAATGAAAAAAAAAATTATAATGTACAAATTGGTTATATATAATATGTTCATTCTACCAAATGAGTTTTTTTACACAAATTTCTTTCATTTTTATTAAATGTAGGCTTATAAATAATATTTTAATAAATTGTTAAACAAGGTATAAAAATTATAATATAGATATAAATGTTTTAATATACTCTTTCTCCATATATATAAAAATACATTAATTTTGTATTACATTTTCTTCATACATTTCGAAATTTCAGATATTTATATATCTACATATTTTTTTATCAATTCTTTTATATTAATATCCAAATAACAAATTCATACGAATTCAAGTAAACAAATTACTTTCCAGATAAAAATTTAATAAGAATAAACAATAGTTATTAGCAAAAACTGTCGTCGGTGCTCACCGACGCATTTTATGCAATAATATTTCGATTATTATCTCCTCATTTAATCGGCTAATAATTGAAGTCATCTATTACATGATATTGATTTCTTCATTTCTGATGACTCAATTTAGTTAATAAGGTATAACATTATAATTAATGAATTTTAATATTTTGAAAGAAATCATACAATTATATGTCTATATTGTATATGTAGAAAATCGATAGTTTATTTACTTACAACATTTTATGATTTGATAAATTCACGTATACAATAATATTTTATGTTGTAATTCATACTGAATATATATGCATAAAATGCATTACAATTAATATCAAAACATGAAAGACATTACCAACAAAATAGTAATATACATAGAAAAATAACATGAATTATTATCCCTTCTAATAGAACATAAATTATCAAATATTATGAGATACTATTATTTTAATTAAATAATCAAATTCTATTAGAATATTTAATTTGTTATTTAATTTTTTTTAATAATTAAGATATTGTTTGTTAATAAAATTAAGATATTTAAAAGATATTTAATAGTTTCATTTATCAATTATATTAATAATTATATAAATAAAAATTTTATATTACTTCAAAAAATTATAGGTAAAGGTGTTGATACAGTAGCAAGTCTTGATGAATGTGCAATTCTTGGACTACGAGGCGATTTATGTAATTGTGATTGTGATAATTTTGGAGTTGTTGGTGTAGTTGTTAATGGTAAATTTTTTCTTAATGGCTTAGCAGGTGTTCGCACTGGTTTGGATTTTATTTTAGATTTACTTGCATTTGCTAATACTTGTTCTGGTAATAAAGAACTACGTAATTCTTTTTTATCTTCTAAATGTTCTTTAAATTGACTATATGTTGTATCTGTAGCAGTTGAATTATGTGATATAAAGTTTTCTTTTTTATTATTATTTTTTACATGTAATATTTTCTTAGGAATTTTCCTGCTTCTTTTAATTTTAGATCCACTTCCTCCTAAACTTATATTTCTACGTTTTGCAGAAGTATTTGGAGATGGACTAAATAAAAGTTTTCTTTTTGATGAATTAATTGGTGTATGACGACGAGTACTTAATATGCCTGGTGTTTTTTTGGATGAATTTGAAATAGTTTTTTTAGAAGCACTTAATGTTGCTTTCTTTATTGATTTGTCTTTTCCTTCTTTTCTAGCCTTCTTTATTGTTTCTTTCTCTTCATTTAAATGTTCCCATGATTCTTTTAATAATTCTTCTACTGACATTCCATTAATAGTAAATACTTCTCCATGTATACTTTCATAATCTTTTATTAAATTTCTTAATTGCTCTTCTATTTTTGGCAACTTTTTTTGAATAGTTTTACGTTCTTTTTCTTCCATTAATAATTGACCACCACGATTATAAAAACGATCTGGATCATTTGCACGTTGTAATAATTCTTTCATTTTTGTCCATAGATTATCACGTTCTTGTAAAAGTTCAAATATAGATTTATTGGTCTCATAAAATTCTTGGATTCTCTTTACTTCTAATTCATGTAATGTTAATAAATCTTCTGTATATGTATGAGAATTAAAATGTATAAATTGTCTTCTTTGCTGTTCACTAAATTTACATAGATCCCATAATTTAACCAGCTCAGATCTTACTTGTGATACATATCTGGCAATATTTTGCTTTCTTTTTTCTTTACAACGTTCTAATTCTGTACTTAATGCATTTATAGTTGCTACACTATATCCTATATAACTATTAAGAAATGATTGACAAATATGTTCTGGTTCATCCAGATATTTCCATAATGCAATTAATTCTTGTTTAATATCTTCTACATGTTCTTTTGCTGTATCCACTTTATGTTTAAGTTCATCTCGAAATTCTTTTAATTTGGTCATATTGTTATTGGTAAAAACAAAATCTTCACTATTTTCATACACTAAATTTTCAAAATTTGATGATGGTGAAATGCCTAAATCATCCATCATTCTAACAATTGCTCTACGCATTTCATTAAAAATAACTTCTAAACGATTTTTTTCACCTTCTTGTTTTTCAAGATAAAGCTTAAAACTATTAAGTTCCTCTTCTGAAGGTACTTTGTCTTCTATATTAATTGGCTGAGTACCTAACATTTTACATAAGGATCTTTCTTTTGTAAGTAGTTCTCTTAAATGTGTTATTCGTTGTTCCTTACAATATTGTAATTTATGTAAATCAGTGCGCAGCACTTGTTCTACTTCTTTTAAGGGTAAATCTTCATATCCAGCAACCATAACATTAGTACCTAATTCTTTTGCTAAAGTACCAACTTGTTCTATTAACTCTCTAATACCAACTAATAGCGTTTCTTTTTTATGTTCTGATTCTGAAACCATCTCGCAAAATAGATCGTCTATATGATTAAATGCTTGTTCGCAATATGTGGCACGTACTTCTTCGCTGAATCCTATTTCTTCCCATATTTTATGCAATTGAGACAATGTACTTTTAAGTTTTATAATAGTCTTCTGTATATTTGATTCCCATTTACTTAAATCAGCCATTTTTGGATTATTTTTTAAATGTATATGAAAGAATAATGCTTGGTGCTTAAAACAAAAACTTTATTGAACTCGCGTTACATCCACTATTTATGAAAATAAAATAAACTTCATACATCGAGACACGATTAACCGTTGTTCTTTTGAATTCATAATCTACAACAACGCCACTCACCTGTCTTATTGAAACTACTGCAAAAGTATATTTCATTTAACAAATTGAACCACCGGAAGTAAATAAATCATATATATAACCTCAGTTATTGACTAACTAAAATGTTAATAAAATTTATTATTGTGTAAAATAATTACAATTGTCAATTTTAGTTTTCGTTATACTGATATATATTTTCATAAAAATATATTTTTAATTAGAAGCTATTTTTATTATCAAGTTTAATTTTTTTTATTTTAATATAAAAATTTTATGATATTTTAATAATATTTTTTTATATGGAAAATTTATAACAATCAAATAAATTATTTGTAACTTGCGTATTGGCTTTAATACTTTTGAAATTTACTATATGAATTTGAGCACAAACTATAAATGTTTTATATTATATATGTTTAATATTTGTAATTATATAATTTTATGCAATTACAATTATTTTGTTAAGTATGTAATTCATTTGTTTTAAAAAATTTATGATTTTTGATATTATTTATTCTAAAAAAATAATAATCTTATGTTATTGAAATGAAATATCAAAATAAATAAATATATTAATATTTATTTATCAAAAATTAATAAATAATTTTTCGTTAATTTACTTTTTTTCTATTATTATAAAATTTAATAAAATAATTTTCATTCTATTATAATAAATTTAATATTGGATGATTAAGTAAATATTCAAATTTAAAAGTTTATCATTTGAAACTTAAAATTGCGAAAATAATTTAATCAAATTAAAAATTTTCCTACATAATAAAATTATGAATATAATCCTGATTTCTAATCACGTGATTTTGTTTACATCCGGTAACTTAATTCAATTCATCTGAAGTATAGAAAATTAATGGAACGAATGTAGATTTAATTGTTATATTTGACAGATATTTTCATTGCATAAAAATTGATATTAATTGAAAATATTTCATTAAAAAACCAAATTGTATCAATCAATATAATAATGAGCGAATTAAAACAAACAAATTATTTCGATTTCGAAATATTTCATATAGTTGATAATTTCTCAGTTAATCATTAATCATCAACAGTATAATAAAAACTTATATATCTAAAATTTAAATAATGATTATAAATTGGAAATTATTAATCAATTATTCGTTAATATAAAAATTTATCCAGAGAAAGAAGAATACTAATTTTTATATGTAGTATTTTTTCTAAATTTTTATAGCATTTTATAGGAATTGATGTTAATATAAAAAATTAATTAATTTTTTAAAACAATTACAATTTATGTACAATAAATATTTCAACAACTATTCAATTGTTAACTTATAAAAAGCATTGCTTTTTTCATATGTGAATAAATAGTATTACAAATTTTGATTTCATATTAGGTTATGTTAGGTTATAATGTGTATATAAGAAGCATTCCCAAAAGAAGATAATATATATGTATATGTAAATTTAATTTAAAAATAGAATAAATCTGATATAAAAATGAATGATGATATACGAAGATCACAGGATAAAATTCCAGAAATTGTTAAAAATGCTGTACTAATGCAAAGTTCTCCTATACCAATGGGAACACCTGTTGTGAAAGGTTGTATTTTTTTGCAAAATGAAAAATTCAAAAACTTAGAATCAATAATTAATACAACTTAGTCAATAATTAATACAATTTATAATTTAATTTTCAAATAATAATAATATAATACTAATATATTTTAGGATATGATTGGAATAAAGGAATTAACTATCATGCTTTGTTTGAAACATATAAAAATTCAGGTTTTCAAGCAAGAAATTTTGGTTTAGCAGTGGATGAAATTCAAAAAATGATAAATACTAGAAATATTCCTCTTGAAGATGATCAAATTGATACTTTGGAAGAAGATAAATTTGTACAAAGGAAGTCTTCATGTACAATATTTTTGGGATATACATCTAATATGGCTTCATGTGGAATTCGAGATACTATAAGATTTCTTGTACAGCATAAAATGGTTAATTAATATATTTGAAAATCATATTCAACCATATTATTCAATTAATTTCAATATCAATTATGCATTTATGATTCAGATTGATTGCATTGTAACTACAGCAGGTGGTGTAGAAGAAGATTTGATAAAATGCTTAGCACCAACATATATAGGAGATTTTCATTTAGAAGGAAAAAGTCTTAGACAACATGGTATCAATAGAATAGGAAATCTATTAGTACCTAATAATAATTATTGTTTATTTGAAGATTGGGTCATACCTATATTAGATGAAATGTTAACTGAACAGAAAACAAAAGTATGATTTAATAAAAAAAAATTAATATTCTATTTTTTTACAAATTTAATATTTGAATATATAATTTTTATAATAGGATATACTTTGGACACCATCTAAAGTAATAACAAGACTTGGTGAAAAAATTAATAATGAAGATTCAATATATTATTGGGCTGCGAAAAATAAAATTCCGGTGTTTAGTCCTGCTTTAACAGATGGAAGTCTTGGTGATATGATGTATTTTCATTCTTTTAGGAATCCAGGCTTAATTATAGATATAATTTCAGGTTTTAACTTATTATTGTAAAATAATAATTTCAAATTTTTATATATAATTTATTTTTTTTTAATATATAATAATTTATGATTTATTTTATTCATTAAATAAATATTATTTATATATTCAAATGCTAATTATATTACAGACCTTAGAAGATTAAATACAATGGCTATGAAAGCAGTGAAAAGTGGCATGATTATTATTGGAGGTGGTATTGTAAAACATCACATTTGTAATGCAAATCTTATGGTAATAAAAAAAAAAAATAAATATAAAAAAATTTTGATAATGAATTGATTTAAAATAAATAATTTATTTTTTAGAGAAATGGTGCTGATTACTCCGTATTTATTAATACAGCTTCAGAATTTGATGGGAGTGATAGCGGTGCTCGTCCAGATGAAGCTATTTCATGGGGTAAAATTCGAATGGATGCAAAACCAGTTAAAGTAAGAACATTTTTGTGAAACATATTATTCAAAATGGATAAAATAGATTAAATTAATATTCATTAATATTCTAGATATATGCAGAAGCTTCTCTTGTGTTTCCATTGCTCGTAGGAGAAACTTTTGCTCGACATTATCATTCAACAAAAGAAAAAACTATTTCGGATGTTTAAAAAGAATTAAATAAAAATAAAGAAAATATGCGATTGTATTTTCACTTTCTTATACATATATATATAAGTAATTTCCAAGTTGAAGTTTTCAATTTATAATTTGCATTACGTACAAATAATATCAAATAGCAAAATTTTTTCAGTTATATAAAAATTTAAAAAATATATTTTAAAGGTATAGCGCCTGCGCGATGATAACGTTCTTGCGCGGCAGGTGTTTGCGGCGCAGGGTTAAAGGCGCCGAATAGTGGTTATCTACGGTGGGGGTAACATCGTTTGTCAGTTGTTTTCCGTAAGTCCGCGCTCGTGGACGGGCGCATGAAACCAACCCCCAACCCCTTTATCAAGCTTCCCGATTTTATGGTTTCTGCCCCCGCGGGATCGGATATTCAGAGACTGGCGGGTTTGACAAAATCACTTATCCTCCATATATTATCCCTTTTAATTCCTATTTTGCTGTTCTCGTTAAAATAATTCTTCGTTAATTTTCAACGTTCGCATTGATCCGTCATTGTCGGTATGAATGATGATGGACGTGGAGGAGACCAATACCGCGTCCACTGCAAGTTCCTCACCAAGACCCTCCAGTCCTGCAGCAGATTCGACTTTTATCAGGTAAGAATTCGGAGTTTCGTGTTTTTCTTAAGATTAGGCTGAACACTATTTGAATGATCCCATACGAAGAAATTCAATTCAATTCAATATTCAAGCATTGTTCAACAGTTGTTATCAAATATATAAGTCATTTAACATAAAATATCGTTTATTCAGTGTGTAAAGTGCATAATGTAAGTATATTAGGTTATGTATTCATCTGTTTGAAATGAACTTTAAGAGAAATACATTACGTATATATATATATATATATATATATGCATTTACAAAAGGAATTACAATTGGAAGAAGTATATTATAATGGCGGTATATTTAAAAATACTAGTAATATTTAAAAATACTAAATTATCTTTCATACTTTGAATTTTTTTCATGTAAGTTTAGTATAAAATTAATATATCACTTAATATAAGAAAATAACATTTCATACATCATAAAAAAAATTTTATTCTTTGAAATCGTTATATTGTACTTATAACTCAACAAAGTGCATGAAATTTTTTATATGTGTACATAATCTTTTAAAGATAAAAGATGATAGTATTTCATACAATATCATGTTTTTGGAACTGAATGCAATTGTATAGGTATCATTTAATAATGCAAACTTTAAGAGCATCACGTCTCGTCTCTGCATTCAGCCTTGTTTTTTTATTCAGTCTGTTTAAAAATACAAAGTCAAACATAACATTACTAAGATCCGTTGATTGATTTTTTCTAACTCATCAAATTCATATTTATGAACAAAATAATCCATGATATATTCCGAATTCTTACTAATATAAACAAAAATATTCAATAGTTTTTTACCATTCTTTATTTTATTTAATTAATTTTTATCATATAATAATTGATATTGGAATATAATCCTGCCAGTAAAATTAATAAAATATAAAATTAAATAAATTAGATAACCTAACTAAAATTTAATTATTGTGATCATTTATAATAATATTAATTGATTAAATTGATTAAAATCTTATACAATTATGATTCAATAGTTCCTTTTATTCGTTCATTTGTTTATTTAGAAAATTTGTTTTACCAATATTTTGAATTTTTGTATCGTATAACGAATTTAACGAGTTTCTCTTTTCTTATTTTCTTTTCATCATAAAATTATAATTGCCATCTATTCATTTATGAAATTAATCGCTGTTATTATGCGTTCGCGGAATATAACCAGTTTTGACGAGACGCACGAGTTACGGTGAAAAGGTTCACGGAAATGAATGTGACA